GGGGGGGGGGGGGGGGGGGGGGGGGGGGGGGGGGGGGGAGGCGGGCGGGAGAGAGAGAGAAGGGGGCAGCCGGGCTACAGCAGGGGCGCTGCCATGCGGCCCCTCCCGCTGCGCCACCTCCTGCCGCGAGGGCTCCGCTCCGGTCGGCGGGGAGGGAAGGAAGAGGAATGCTCTGCAGGGTGCTCTGGTTCTCCGCCCCGCCGCCCCCTACAGGGTGGTCAGAGCGGAACAAGAACACACACACAAGCATCCGTGCCGCCCTAGGATTGGGCAGAATGCCGCCTCGAACAATCTGCCACCCCAAGCACCAGCTTGCTCAGCTGGTGCCTGGAGCTGTCCCTGTGTGCAAAGTATATTGGACCCTCACTCGCCAGGGAAACAAGTATCAGAGAGGTAGCCGTGTTAGTCTGTATCCACAAAAACAACGAGGAGTCTGGTGGAGTGAGCTTTTTGTCTAGGTGTAGGATACCTGAATATTTGGCATAGCATCTAAGTGCTCTGTTTTGATTATCATACATTAATAATTTTTAAAATAGGCTTAGAAATATGGTTACATAAAGGCATTACTGAATCATTGTAGTTGGGGTATGAAATTCAAGGAAATGACTGAATTGGCTTAAATTTAGCCTAATGAATATGTAAATTATGAGGTAAACCGTCAGTTTTAATAATTTTTCATTGCTGTTATTCAAGTTGCAAAATAGTGAATAAATGTGCACATTCCAGTAGTGATCACGGTATATCACTATATAAAACAAGCCGTGTATGAGAGAGAAAAACTCTCATGTTCCCTAAATTGACTAGTTTGGTAACATCGTGCAATAATGGGAAAACATTCTGTAATATTTGTTTTTATCTCAACACTTCTGTTGATGAATACATGTGTTTTTGTTAGGTTTTTTTTTTTTTACAAAATATACATGTAGTGCACATTCAGGTTTAATAGTAAATTCCCTTTTCTCTGAATTGCTGCCAAATAAGATTCCTTTTCTTCAAAGAAAATGTTTTTGTCTAGCAGTTGGTTTATCGGTATCAGTCTATTTAAGTATTAGTCTTGGCAGTAGATCCAGGAGACTTCACTTTTGCTTTCTGTTTTCATGTTGTTCATATGACCTTTATGTCCTTCAGAATAAAAATACAAATTGCCCCTCCTCTTACTTTGATGAAAAACAGAGCAGGAATTTAAATCCATGACACGCACACAAATATCAAAGCTTATTTACTTCTGAAAAATATGTTGACTTCCCCAGTCAGTTAAAAGATTAGAGTGGAAGTGCTTACCTTTATCATGAAAAATACCGTGGGGGACAGAATTATTGTGCCCTTACAGTAAGTCCAGTGGCGAAGAGCTGCAAAATTTTCTACAGCTTTGCTTTTTATATTCTATTTTGACTGGAAATTGCCAGAATGATAAAATGTGAGTTCATATCCAGATTCAATCTCCCACCAATTTTATTCTGATATTCAAATCCAAGGTTTTAGTTTGGAGGTCTCTCTTTCTTACTTTTTTAAAAAGTAATAAAATCCCAGTACAACCATTGTATTATCAGCTATTTAAACAATACCTTATAAATATTTGAGTGCTGAATGATTTATTCCTTTTTCCCTTGATTGAATGTATTTAATTCCTAATTATAAAACACTGGCATGAAAAATTAATTAAGTTGCTGGTCTCAATTCATAAATGTTATGTATGTTTGGTTTTATATATTTAATACTGTAAGAGAATGGGGCTGATGTTTTTAAAAAAAGTTAGACGCAACTTACATTCGTATTACTACAACTGTCCATGCAAATCTGTTTGCATATGTAACTGGCCAGTTCTTCTTTGAGTGGGATCTCTCACTGCAGGTGTGCTTATACCCCAAGCACCTTTGATCAGAAATTTTTGGTAGTACTGCCTGTTTGGCCCACACTTGCACTCTTGCATCCTCATGCCCGCACCAAAGACAGATAGGGCTGCATGGGGAAACAGCCCTCTGTGTCTTCTCAGCTGCCTTGGCCTGAGACAGAGTGTTAGTGTGCTCACTTTACTATTCAAATCCTGTCTTTAGTCTTAGATTTCCTTTACTTTCCTTGATTTTGTAGGGGAGGTGGGGTTTCGTTCGAGATCCCCATTGTCCCAGAGTATGCCAAGATATCCGGGTTTCAAATGTTGCCTCATTTGCCGGGAAGCTGTCCCTGTCAGTGATGGGCTTTCCCCGTTTTTCCACTGCTCGGGGGACACACACATTCTCTCATAAGTGTATCATCCACTCAGCTTTTAAAAGCAGAGCCAGGAAGAATCAGAAAATAAAACTTAAGCACTTAATGATGAAGTATTGTCTCCAGATGGCCTCCGATCCAGGGTAGGAGGAGACACCCCCCTCCTCCCCCCGGCTTTCAAACACCCTTCCCCCACCCAAACATAAGCCTGTGAATGAGAATAGTGCCCCATCAACATCTGCACAGCCACCTATGCACATTCAGGAGACTCATTCTCCTCATAAGGGGTCTGCTTCGAGAAAGCCTTGGGATCCTCAAAGTAAAACTGCATTAGAGATCTCATACCCCATGCGGTACCCAGAATGGGATGTCAGCACACATTAAGTGGCACACCCATATGGATATACATCTTGAAGAACTCTAGTTACTGCACTCCTTGTACTATCTCTGCTCCTCCCAGCCAGTCTTCATCAGTACCATCTACTTCCATCAGATAAGATTTACCAAAGTAGTCTATGCCCTCTGCATTGGTTAGAACCTTTTCCTCTACCAACCCACCTGATGCTCCAGGGTTGTCTTAGTTTAAGATGAGCTGGTGTCCCCCCGTCCAGTACCCTCACAGTGGCAGAGCTCCTCCTTTACATGAGGAGGAGTGCTCTTCAGCCACCCAAATCTCAGTGCATGATTCCTCTACTTACCAAAGGGACTTCCCTCCTGACTGTTTTGGGGAGAGAGAAGAGTTAAATTCAGGATGAACCCACGCCCTGTGCACTTGTTCTAGCACCATTGGATGCCACCTGCCATTCTTTATTGACCCCCTCAGTGGCCATACTGAGATCCTTGGGCTCCAGGTCGACAACAATTCTCACGAGTCCCTAGTTTTTCATGTGGGGACCACAGAAAGAGACATTCTCCTACTTTATCTATCCCTGCTCCATTACCTCAGGTACAGGAATCCCTTGAAGAGCAGGAGGCGGAGCAGATAAGGATGATTCTCTGCAAATGAATGTCTTTCAGATGAGGTAGTTATGCTGCCTCCACTTTCTCTGGCTGATGATTTCAAACAATTAATTAAATGTATTGCAGACTCTTTACCAGTCCCTCTAGAGGATGTCAGAGAGTCGCAGTCAAGCTCCTGGATATTCTTTAGTTGCCACTTTCAGCTAATGTTGGCTTGCAAATTAATGAGTCCCTACTAGATCCTAGCAAAATTATCTGGCAAACTCTGGCAGTGATACCACCAACATGCAATTATGCTGATAAAAGAATATTACATCCCAGCCAAGAGCCCTGAATTTTTATTTTCACGTCCTGCACCTAACTCTCTGGCTGTGGAAGCAATGAATGAACAGTAGCACATAAAATTCGCACCTTATAATAAGGATCAGAAACACCTTGACAAAGGATGCTGCCTTCCATACCCTGCACATCAGGAGGATGAGGGTCTTTTATTTGGACGGAAGCAGACCATTTAGAAAATTTCCAAGATTGTTGTATCAATTGCTGAGAGGTCCAAAGGGTCCACAATCTCCACCCAAGCACTTTTCAGATGGATTTCTGGATGTATTCTTTCTTGTTATCATAGGGTATTAGCCCATTCCACAAGGTGTGTCTCTACCATTGTGACATTCCCATTGTTGAGATCTGCAAAGCTGCAACTTTGTCTTCAATACATACATTTTCCATGGACCACATGATGGTTTATTCTTCTAGCTGTTGTCCTTGGGAAAGCAGTCTTGTCTTCAGTATTGGACTTGACTCTGAAGCTTCCTCCTTTTGTTTTGAAGTAGAGAACCCATAGGAACACTACTTGAAGAAGAAAGAGTTTATCCACCTTGGGCAGTAATTTAAGTTCTTCGAGGTGTATACCTATGGGTGTTCCTCTACCACTCTCCTTCCCCTCTGCTTCTAAGTTTCTTCTATGGGACATAGCAGTGGAAAAGAAACTGAGGGCAGTTTACCAGTGCAGGCCTATATATACTCAATGCAGAGCATGAGGATGTGTAGAGTGCATGTGCAGGCCAAATGGGCAGTACTACCAAAAATCTCCAGTCAAAGCACATCTGAACTGGAGAGCCCATAGGAACACACATCTCGAATTCCAGTTTCTGCATAAGGTGAGTACCCAATTCCTTACCTATCCATTTCCTTGCAGGTGCTGCTCTGATGGCCTGTAAGAGGTTCCATTTTTGGGATAGTGGGGAGGAAAACTCAGCACTAACACTCACTTTTTGCAGAAATCCAAAACTTTCTAAGGCAACAAAACAAACACACTCTTTGGGCTCTCAGTATAGGAGTCGAGGACTTGGGATGTGGAGCAGAGTCTATTTAAAAGCGGCATATAATCCAGACTGGGAGCAGTTCCGTTTTATAGACCAGAGAAACCCAGACTTCCAAGCTGCATGGCTTATCCTCTGTAGTGGATCCAAATCAATCTGCTACATCCACAAAATCTTATGCAGGTCTCACTCATCTAATATTTTAAAGGTTCCATAAGTGAGTCCTTAAGCCTCGGACTTTCTGCCATATTAGTAGGTTTCAGACGGTCTCTTGTAGATGAAGTTTTTGGGTCTAAATTCAGGTTAGACCCACCAGATGCATATCAGTTGGGAGCTATGTCCTGTAAAAAATTTCAGGAGAGGAAAGGGGAGATGAATGAAAACACAGTGACCCTGATGTCAGAAGTAACTGTGCAGATCTACTCCTGTGGTATCATCACTTTTATTGTTCTTTGACCTGCATTTGTGGTTTTTTGTTTGTTTTTTTCCTTCTTCAGACTTACCAGACCAAGTTCTGAGGGTTTTCAAGGCAGACCAGCAAAGTCGCTATATTATGATTAGTAAGGACACAACAGCAAAGGAAGTGGTCATTCAGGCGATTAGAGAGTTTGCTGTAACTGCTACTCCCGATGCATATTCTTTGTGTGAAGTCTCTGTCACTCCAGAGGGTGTAATCAAGCAAAGGAGGCTTCCAGATCAGCTATCCAAGCTTGCTGATAGGATACAGCTAAGTGGCAGGTGAGACTTTGGTTTATATTATGTCAGTTTAATAAGAATTCTAACACATATAAGTATCTGCAAACTTGCGACAGTCTGTTTTCTCCCCAGAAATATTTCAACTTCAAGGTTACTATTCTAAGCTAGTTAGAGCATATACTACACTAATTTCAGTCTGTAACTTTTTTCTAGTATATGATGATCTTAGCTATCAATTTTCTTCTGGTATTTGATTTTTATAGGTATTATCTGAAAAACAACATGGAGACAGAAACATTGTGTTCAGATGAAGATGCTCAGGAGTTACTGCGGGAAAGTCAAATTTCCCTACTGCAGCTCAGTACTGTTGAGATGGCTGCTCAGCTCTCCATGCGAAACTTTGAGCTGTTTCGTAACATTGAACCCACAGAGTACATAGACGACCTGTTTAAACTCAAATCTAAAACCAGTTGTGCTAACTTGAAAAAGTTTGAAGAAGTGATAAACCAAGAAACATTTTGGGTAGCATCTGAGATTCTAAGAGAAACCAACCAGTTAAAAAGAATGAAGATCATTAAACACTTCATTAAGATAGCACTGCACTGCAGGGAATGCAAGAACTTCAACTCCATGTTTGCAATTATCAGGTAAATAAGGGAAGGTTTGTGTGGGTTTTTTTTTTTTTTTTTTTTACCGTTGAATTCAGTTCAGATTACTCAACAGTAATACTTCAAACTGAATAGAAATTTGCATTAAACAGAAAGGGAGCTGACTAATACTATTACCATCAGCTTTGGACACTCCTAAAAAGATAGGAAAAGATTTTTTTCCCCCAAGAATCTTGTATCCTGATATTAAAATGTTTGTTGAAATAATCCTTGGAACTCGACCACCTTTATAAAAACTGAAACTAGAGGAAATGGGGAATACAGAAATTGTGTGGCATGGGAGGAAAAAGAATTTTGAGAAGGATGACAAAGTTAGAGATAGTCAAACTTAGAAAAAAATAAAAAATATAAGCGGGTCCAGGAATGAGAATAAGTCCAGCAGCTGCATGGAGGAAGGATATCAAAGGAAGGATATTGCATATCGCCTTGTTCTACTCTTGTGGTTGTGCCTGTGGGAAAGGTAATAGGGGAGGGTAGATAGTAAAAAGAATTTGCAGTTATAAGAAAGCAGGTGGCTTGTGGTATTTTCTGTCTTGGTGCTTGATCCTTACAAGATACTGAGTTCATCTCATGAAGTGCTATTTGACCTCGCCCCCTGCTTTCCTGTGGGAGTTAGGATGTGCATTACCTCATAGAAGATGCTCAGTACCCTGCATTTATTGAGTCTTGGTATATTATTGATTGTAGTTTTATACTATCAGCTGCTTAGACTGTTGACAAAAGAAAAATTGTTCCCAGTAGGAGAGTGTACTATTATCTATCCTATCTGGAGCTGAAGAAAGTAATAGAAGTAATTAGAATGCAGTTCTTTGAATTTGGGTTACTGTATTACTGTTGTCTGTTCTTAGGGGTTTGTATTTCATGTGCAGAAAATCCAACTGGGGGAAATTTGTTATAAAATTCCTCAGATTAAGGTATTTTAATTTTTTTTTAAATCCCCAAAGTAATCTCCTCATCTCAAAAAAGATATACTGGCATTAGAAAAAGTTCAGAAAAGGGCAACTAAAATGATTAGGGATTTGGAACGGGTCCCATATGAGGAGAAATTAAAGAGGCTAGGACTTTTCAGCTTGGAAAAGAGGAGACTAAGGGGGGATATGATAGAGGTATATAAAATCATGAGTGGTGTGGAGAAAGTGAATAAGGAAAAGTTATTTACTTGTTCCCATAATATCAAAACCTGGGGTCGCCAAATGAAATTAATGGGCAGCAGGTTTAAAACAAATAAAAGGAAGTTCTTCTTCACACAGCGCACAGTCAACCTGTGGAACTCCTTGCCTGAGGATGTTGTGAAGGCTAGGACTATAACAGGGTTTAAAAGAGAACTAGATAAATTCATGGAGATTAAGTACATTAATGGCTATTAGCCAGGATGGGTAAGGAATGGTGTCCCTAGCCTCTGTTTGTCAGAGGGTGGAGATGGATGGCAGGAGAGAGATCACTTGATCATTACCTATTAGGTTCACTCCCTCTGGGGCACCTGGCATTGGCCACTATCGGTAGACAGGATACTGGGCTGGATGGACCTTTGGTCTGACCCAGTATGGCCGTTCTTATGTTCTAATTTTAAATTACAGAATGTAAAAGTAGAAAATGTCTAGTACCTGTATTAAAGAAATACTTAAACACTCTTGCACTCTTCAGAATACTTCAGGTTGCAGAAATAAAAAAATATAACACCATAATAATAGAAATGTAAATATCACAGGCTACAAAAAAGGGTTATTGGCATATATCGTTATTAGCCTTCCATGCAAAAGCCTTTGTTTAAAAAAAAAATCATCTCTGCCACTTGTCCTGAAGTTCAGTGGATTTGAACCCCATCAGACCAGAAGGGGAAGAAAATTCTCCAAAATCAGAGACCCTGACCAGGAATCTGTCAGTGCCCCTGAGGCATTTAAATCTAGGTATTTAGTTCAGCCACTTCAGATGAGCTTAAATCCTGCTTCAGAATATGGGGTGAGAGGCAGCCTGTCAGTTAACTAGGACTTGAATAATAGCTGACATTATAGATTGATATCAATACCTCCTTTGCAGCCAGAAGTGAATAGCTAGTCAGGACCACTGGTGTTAAGTACTCCCTTTGCCAACAGCACTAAGGGAGTGGACCACATGTTTTTCAGCTAGCTCCTGTATATCCTTAAGTATAGAGTCTATTTCAGCAATTCCATCTGGAGATGACATGGCACATGGATTGTGTCAAAGGAAATGGTCTTAGCACTATCATTGGGTATAGATTTGGAGATAAGCATCCCTGGTCACTGACACAGTCTGGGAATCCAGGAGTGACCGTGAGTCCAGATATACCTAGAGATTGTAAACTTCAGTGGTAAAGGGCAGACAACTCCTCTATAGTGGAGGCAGATACCAATCTGGGTATATTGCATTATATAGATTCCATCAGTCATTATAGTTAATATAAAGTCATACCTTTAAGATATGTATTTTCATAACAGATTGATTTGTATAGATTTTATAATGCACATTTTCAAAATACAATTTTTGCTTACTAATATTTGCACTTGATTGGTATATTGCTGTACTACAACACTTTGCCCGATATGGGATATGATATTTCTGCTACACAAAATTGTATAGTTTTATATTTGGGTGTTGCAGTTTTCTTTCTATTAAGTTTGCATAGTTTGTAAATAGTTAAATAGTTTGTATTTAATTGGACAAACAAAACAAAACCCTCATGAACTGTTTTCAGTGGCCTGAATTTGGCACCGGTTGCAAGGCTCCGCACTACTTGGGAAAAACTTCCAAGCAAATATGAGAAGCTGTTTCAAGATCTTCAAGACTTGTTTGATCCATCTAGGAACATGGCAAAATATCGTAATGTCCTGAACAGCCAAAACCTACAGCCTCCCATTATTCCTCTCTTTCCTGTTATCAAAAAGGACCTTACATTCCTCCATGAAGGTAAATGCAAAATAGCTTGGTTCTTTATCTCCACAGAAAATGGATTTTGCAGCCTAGTAGCTGATACCATTACTATTTACTTGTCTTCTTTTTATGAAATATAGGAAATGACTCAAAAGTGGAAGGCTTGGTCAATTTTGAGAAGCTGAGAATGATTGCAAAAGAAATTCGTCACGTTGGTCGAATGGCTTCTGTTAACATGGATCCTGCTGTAATGTTCAGGACTAGGTAGGTTTGTCTTCAACAGAGCTTCAGTTGATTGAGACAAAAAGTTGAGTATTAATGATAAAATAAGTAATTTTCTAGTGCCCATCCGCAGCCCTTAACAAAAGAAACATTGCAAATTAAATAATGAAAGATGAGACTTTATCTTCCCACCTGTGGTGCCTCTTGTTCTTTCTATGCCTGGAACACTCATAGAAGTCAATGGGAGTTTTCAGTTACAAGATTGGACTGTATAATTTCTGTATCACTGGTTGTATTACAGCATTATAGATGTACAATGTCTCATTCACTACCTTGTACCACTTTTAGGTAATCACCGGTACGTACTGTATCCACATTTTAAAACCAGTTTTGAAAAGGAAAGCAATTATAGATCTTACCATGGAGGAAACCGTGTTTTATATTCTCCCACTGACAACCAATTTTCCTGATTCCGTGATGAGATCCCACCAATTCATAGTCTGAATAAAGATATTCTATCTCACTATATACTGTATTAGAGGAAAGTTTATTGTATGAAATGTTGATGCATACGACAATCTAAATTGCTACAGTTTACTATAAATAGGAATATTTGAACTTCAGCATAAATCAGTGGTGCAGGAGAATGTGAAGTGATTGCTGTTTGGTTTTGTGTAGAGATAGTGTAATGCACTCTCGCTTAATTTGAATGAGAAGAGTTTTTAATATCCGACTGTGTGCCTCAGATAAGGCTGTTTTAATGTTTGTGGGCTTCTAGTACTGCTTGTCCTGAGGTCTGGTCTTTTCTTTCTGAGCTTGTGATCTTTCTCTGTCTCTTCCTAAACCCATGCTTCACTCTTCATGGCTCTCACTTGCAGGAAGAAGAAATGGAGGAGTTTGGGGTAAGTGGTTGGAGACAACGCACACAGACAAACATTCTTTTCTGACCATTTGCATTGTTTTTCTACTTGCTATCTTTAATTTTCTGATGCTTTGACATTTTTCTTTTAACCCTTTTGTACTTACAATAAGTTTAATCCAATGGTGCTTTTGCTTTCGAGGTCAAAAACACAGAGCTGTGAAACTATTGACAGATATTTTTTGAGTGTGATTTGGGGAAGGGTTGTTTATTTAGCACACCAATACAATTGACTTTAATATAACCAGTCTGGCTTGTAATAGAAAGGAAATTCCAAAATAGAATGGGGATAGCTGTACAACTAAAATTTACAACTAATTTACATATGCCTGATAAATGAATGAAGATGAAATCCACTGATGTTAAAAATTGAAGTATCATGTTTTTTACAGCTCAACTAACTATATTTTCACTCTAAATCCAGCCTCCATTTTTTACTCTTAACAAATCAGAAGCCACAAATAGCTTCCATATATACATACACAAATTGAAATGCATGACGATTATTTCCTCATTGACTAATTGATCATTTGTTTAACAAAAAGCTCATCATACTCAAGTTAGGGCATAAACAAATTTTTTTTCTTCATTACTATTGAAATTGAGGTCTTTATAAACCCAGATTAAGACTATGTTGAAGACACTTTCTAGATAATTTGTATTTAAATTTGAAGCCCAGCTATAGTTGTCTGTCAGCATTGCCTTGCTGCATGAGCTTTTCTTAATGCTCCAACCTTCTCAGTAGCTGACTTATGTGAGAGAGCTGTCTTGAATGCTTTTCTAGATGTGTGAAGGGAGATTGCCTAGTTGGAGCAGAATAGGTTCCAGGCAGTTATTTTATTTAATTATACACAAATTATTATTTTTAACCAAATAAAGAGATTTCTTGATCCTCATCTTCTGTCTATTATAGCTGTTTGACTTACTGGAATGAGGCATGTAAGCTTTGACCGTAGACTGACATTCATGGAACCTTTTGCATGTTTCCAGTTTATGAAGTGATACTGTGCTGGACTAAGTCTATCTTTCTCCTCTTTCCCACTTCACTTCAGGTCTCTCAGCCAGGGCAGTACAAATGCAGCAGTGCTAGATGTTGCACAAACAGGGGGACACAAAAAGCGGGTACGTCGCAGCTCCTTTCTCAATGCCAAAAAACTGTATGAAGATGCTCAAATGGCACGAAAAGTGAAGCAGTACCTCTCTAACTTGGACCTGGAAATGGATGAAGAGAGCCTCCAGACACTGTCTCTGCAGTGTGAGCCAGCCACCAACACATGTGAGCTTTTTCATCAAATAAGCATTATACGTAGCCGCTTATATCTGCATGTAACTTAACTTCTGGGCTATATCTTCCTGTCACTTACATATCTGTTCTCTGAGCTCTGTTATGTGGAAAGGTCAGCAAAGATTTTATAATTAAAAACAATATGTGTTAAAAGTTCTCTCCCTCCCTTTGCCTCTTTAAATAGGTATGGATACCGCAATCATTGTATCTTAGCTCCTTTTAATTAAAATCAGGAGTTTTGAACCTTTCACTTAAAGACTGCTGAAATAGAAGTTAATTCCTTGTTTCTTCCATTTATTACAAAGTACCGAAGAATCCAGGGGACAAACGGTCTGGGAAACAGGAAACGTCACCAGTGGCACCTAGGGCAGGAATTCAGCAGAAGGTGCAGCAGCAGCATAAAATAAACCAAGCATTGCAGGTCCCTGCTGTGTCCCTCTATCCCTCTCGCAAGAAAGTACCAGTCAAAGACCTCCCACCATTTGGTAAGTGAAATGAGTGGGCGGGTGTGTGTTGTTAAAAACGTTTAAATGTTTTTGTATAGTTCAAGCAGGTGTATTTTTGAATTGGTGAAATATTGTAACATTTAGTTCAAGTTAGTGCTCTCAATTATCCCTCTCAGTTTAGACAGCATATATAAATCCTCCTCCTAGCAGACAAACGGGAGAAAACTACTCCTAGTAAAGGGGTCTGGCTGGCTTATCCTTTTCAGTTGTAGACTTGTTTCCATCCGGTGATAATTGCTCTCCTGGCTGGTGCACTAGACCCTCGGGCTTAAATTTTCAAGTCACTAATGATTTTGCTTGTCTCCATTTTTGAGTGATCAATCTGAGAGACCATAAAGGGGCCTGATTTTCAAAAGTGTTTGAGCATCTGCCCTCCAAAAATCAGGCCTGTCCAAGGTATGTCAAGTTGAGTACCCCCAGTCATTAATCACTTTTGAAAATGTGGGCTGTAGCTTTTAACTTTTTCATTTGACACTTGCCCTTCACCACCACATTCCCCCAAATCTTTTTCTATTGCAGTGCTAAAGTTCCACTGTTTGGGATGCCACAGATTGAAACAGGAGACTGGTAATATCTTATAAATAATTTGATTTCTCCAAGTCTCTCTCTGGCAGCTAAAGTAGCTCATCCTGTTGCAGTGTTATGAAGTAGTCTGAAATTTTTCATATCTAATTTGAATTAAAAACATATTTTCAAATTTGTTTCTAAACAGGATACGCTAGCTATCCCCTTTATACAGGGAGTGATTTTCCAGAAACGTTGCTCTATTCTGTCTCCACCTGCTATTAGGATCTCTCACACCTATTGTTTAGGCTACAAAAGAGGGATTTAAAAAAATGAACACCAAATGAACAAGAAATAATGTAGTATTCTGCTGTCTAGAGGATCAAATCCTGTAGATTCTGCTGTCTAGAGGATCAAATAAACTGTGTTAATCAAATAATTCTGGATTATTGATTGCAACACTGCAGTCCTCTAGATCAAATGCAAATTCTGTAGCATGCTTGAAAAAATAATTCCACCCCTGAAATTTGCAGAGTTGTCACATGTAGATCGGTCTGCACTTTTAATCAGCAAACTTGATGCCTGTTTCAAGAGAGCAGTTCTTCAGTCTTTGCTCTCTAGGTCTTCCCTAGGAGTTGTTACTGCTAATCTCCCAAAGTATAGGGTTTGTGCAGAGACAGTTCTCAAAGGAGAAAGGAAGAAAGCCAACTCTAGGAATATATTGCCCCACCAGATATTCACTTGCCCAACCTTCCGCATCGCTTTCTTTGGTGATATTCTAAGCCATTTTGAATACTGAAGAGTAGCTGAAGCCTTTTTATGTAATCTTTCAGTAAACATTGGAATCTGTGAGGGATTGTGTACAGCTCCACCATTTGCTAGTTTTGATCTCCCAGTACTCATCACACGCATCTCCCAGGTGATAGATCTGCAGAAAAAATATTCTGGAACACGAGTTACAGGAGATCTTTTCGATGAACAGGTGGAAACTCAGACACAGCAATATTTTGCTAGTAGATATGAATTGGAATCTGAAACAGAGCAGTCCAATTTCATTGTCAAAGCTGAGAAAAATACAGAAATAAACAGCATATTGTAAATAGAGAGGAGTAAATTATTTTTTTTTATTTTAGATTATTAAAAGTGGTATTAGAGAGATGAGGTGGATAAGGTAAAAAAAAATTTATTGGACCAACTTCTGTTGGTGAGAGAAACAAGCTTTTGAGCTACACAGAGCTCTTTTTCAGGTCTGGGAAACTTAGGCTATGTCTACACTAGAGACCTTACAGCGGCACAGCTGTACTGCTGCAAGATCTATGTATCCACTCTATGCCCATGGGAGAGAGCTCTCGCATCAGCATAACTAAACCACTCCCAACAAGCGGCGGTAGCTACATCATCGGGAAATCGTCTTCCACCAACATAGTGCTGTTCACACCGATGCTTATGTCATTGTAACTTTTGTTGGACAGGAGTGTGTTTTTGCACATCCCTGAGTGACATAAGTTTTACTGACAAAAGTGCTAGTGTAATAGCTGAATACAAGGTGGAACAGATCATTTAGCATAAGTAGTTAACACATGTTTCAAGGGAACATTCAAAGTGAAGTGGCCTGTTAACACCCTTCAAGTGATAGGGAGGAAAGGAAAGCAGGGAGGGGCTGGGAGGGGAGCAGTTGGAAGGGTTGTTAGTGGGTTGTAGATAGTTGTAATAAGCCAGAAATCCAGTGTCTCTATTCAGTCCATGATTTTTAGTGTCTAGTGAAGTTATGAATTTAAGCTCCCAGGCTCGTCTTTTGAAAGTGCTGTGCTGGTTTTCTGTGAGGATGAGAACTGATAGGTCAGATGTAGAGTGATTGCTTTGGTAAAAGTGTTCACTCAAAGTGGTATTAGTAACTCAAGGAAGATAAATATTTTATCTTTACAGTGTCCCTATAATGCATTGTAAAATTAACAAGTGTATATATTTCCAGCTTAATTCTTTCTTTCTTTCTTTCTTTCTTAAAGGCATTAACTCCCCACAAGCTTTAAAGAAAATTCTTTCATTGTCTGAAGAAGGAAGTTTGGACCGTCACAAGAAACAAGCTGAAGACACAATATCAAATGCATCTTCACAGTTGTCTTCTCCTCCCACATCACCACAGACCTCTCCAAGGAAAGGTATAAGATATGCAACACTTTCCCGTCCTTTTCCTGAAACCTGCAGGCTTTAGAAATAACTGTGAGGGGATCTTGGAGACTAATGGCTTGTCTAGATGAACAATTAGTGCACAGCAAGCTGGGATGTAAATCTACAGCACACTAACTGTTCATGTGGACTCTGCTACCAAACTAAAAGTTCACTAGTGCACACTGATCTACTTGCGTCTCAAAGCAGAATAAGTCAAAATGCCCTTTCAGTGTGTGGTAGCATGGTCCACACGGACATTTAGTGCACAGCAGACTAGCGCACTGTAGATTTACACCACAGTTTGCTGCACGCTACCTGTGTGTCTAGATAAGCCCTAAGGGTGACATCTTTTCCTACTTATGCTGCCATATGAGGATTGGCAGGGGACTGGAGTAGTGGTGCCCAAGTGGATGCCTCAGGAACCATCCTGTTAGCAAAACGCAGGAAGATGGGTTTAGAGTATCCTGGAGCCATCACACTAAGCAACTCTCTTTACTGCTACTTCAGAGAAAAACATGTCTCCTTCAGTTGCCCTCTACCAAAGGCAGCATACATGGGCAGAAGTTCAGAGCTCATAGTGGCACTTTGGAGCATCACTGGGTATAATAACCAAGCCCTCTGCTGATTTCTAAAGGAATTACTAGGTTAAAATCATGCCTGCCTGCTGTGCAATTGTGCTGGATGGAGAAGGACCCATGCAAGACAGCAGGATTTTCTGTAGAGTGTTAAAGGCTCAGATCACTAAAGCATTACATTTCTTTTATGCAAATACCTTAGTCATCCCAAGAATCAAGGTGGAAGTTTGACACATGGCTTTGCACAATGAGGCTTTCTTGGCTGAGTTAGTTTCTATGAAATTATTTAAAATTATCTTAAAATATACTGGTAGAGATTACTGTCCAGTGTGACTGGCCAAAACTGCAAATGAGTTTAAACAAGATGATTTAAGACTCCTGATGAATTTCTGTCCTGTTTCCTTTTTCATTGTACTGGCTCTGGCTGTTAATTAAGAGAAAAAAGATCAAGTGCAAGCACTTGCCTTTCTTGTAATTTAAAAAAAAAAAAAAAAAGAGAGTGTCACTATAGAAATGGAATAGCATATTCCTATAGCAGTTAACCTCGAGGTCATTTTCTCCTCCTATCCTTTTCAGAATAACATAGAAATCAATTTTAATGGCTGCATGAGAGAAAGTTGTATTAAAAAATCTGTGTCAGAGTTGAGCCCCACACAGTAAGAGCTCAGACTTGTGATAGAGCTTGGACAGTTCTAGATTTCACTGTAGAAATGACTCCCACCAAATTGCACTGTGATGCTGAGAAATTGAAACTTGTGTGCATTTCATCTGGGTATCACTCTCTCCTGTGTCTGTCAAATGGATATCTAAACTCTTTTCTCATCCTGTTAGGTGGCAGTGGCAATTAGCTGAGATATTATGGCTCCAGACAGTCGGATCTAACCAGTTCCTCCTCTTCTCTCGAAAGTGAGAACAGTAACAAGAATAACAATGCACCACGGGCCTATAAGATAGGTGGGGTTTACAAAACCGAAAGGAAAAAGATCACACGCACAATTGGCTAATGTTTTTAAAAGGGATGAGGGGTGTGTCCTTCAGAAGTACAAATACATATCCAAAAGCACTGCTGAAGTGAGCTTGTCTAAGGGTGAGATAGAGGAGGATCTTAGGCAGAAAATCCTTTGATAATCAGCTCAAGTCTTTGTAAGATCTCAGCATAATTTTATCTCATGGACTTTAGTAAGGTGTGAATTTATATGAATTTGATCACATTTTATCAAGGCCAGTGCATTTATTGAAAAAGGAATGGGGATCAGATAAATGGAGAGGAAGTGTAGTACTGTGTATTTGGTAAAGCAATCCGTGAAAATGGTTCTAAATTTCAAAGCATTTCCAAGATTTAGTGGCACCATGAACTAACGTGTTTTCTCTCTTAACTTTAATCAGATTTGGCAGTGTTAGGGACAGATCCTCAGCGAGTATGAACTGTGTAGCTCCACTGAAATCTCTTTGAAGTTTAATGGTGATTTTCAAACTAAAAATTAAAATTGCGTGCTTACATACAAAAGTAGGTTAGATGCCATTCAACAACATATCTTTTTAATTCTTTTTGTACAGCACCTTGCACAATGACTAGGGATCCTGGTCATTACAGTAATACAAATATTTTGTAATAAAAATAATAGCTGATAGGCATTCATCACAAAATTACATTTTAATAATTTACCTTCCTAAAGAACTGCTTTTAGGATAAACTTTCTAAGACTATGTGTACACTACCACTTATGTCGGTATAACTTATGTCACTCAGGGATGTGAGAAAGCCACCCTTTTGAGCAACATAAGTTACATTGACCTAAGCGCTGGTGTGGACAGCACTATGTCGGTGGGAGAGCTTCTCCCGCCAACATAACTACAGCTGCTTGTTGGGGGTGGATTAATTAAGTCAACGGGAGAGCTCTCTGCCGTCAGCTTTAGATCATCTGTACACGAGAGCTTGCATCGGTGCAACTGCACCGCTGAAAGATGTCTAGTGTAGCCATAGCCTAGCAAATGTTAATTGCCTGAAAACAAAGGATTAGATGGCCAGCTCAGGTTTAGCTGACAAATCTCACATGCAGTGCTATAATCAAGGCCCATATTTGCAAGGTGATCAATCATCTACATGCAAAGTGTGAATTGTCTGCTGTGTTCTATGCTATCATGCAAACGGCCCCAGTGCCGAAGTATTCTTGACTCTGTTTGTTCAAAATGGAGACAAAATGAGGGAGCATGCTAAAGTAAATGACTTTGTGTTGGAGGGAATGACTCTTGTAGCCCCTCACATAAATGGAACATACATTGGAAACCTGTTTGGATTAGATAGTCAGTGAAGGTCAGATGAATGGTACATAGGAATGTAGGAATTGCCATACTATCAGGCCTAAGGTCCATGTGATCCAATATACTGTCAGTGGCCAGTACCAGAAGCATCAGAGGAACCTTTAAGAAATCAGCAGTAGGTACATATGAAATAATCTGCTCCCCCACATAGGTTTCATCCTGATCTCTGTTAGAGATTGGTTTAAACCCCGAAGACTTAATATCCCATCCAAAATTTCTGTTATCATTAATTATTGTAACTGGATATTCTGTTATACAAGAAATGTCACATCCCTTTTTAATTCTTGCTACTTTCTTGGCCTCAGTTACTTCCTGTGGGAATGAGTTCCACACGTGAGTTCCACACTGAGTATTTCCTATTATCAGTTTTGAATTTGCCACTGTTTAATTTTTCCAAACGTTGTCAAATGCTTAATTTCATTGCGATATGAGACAGAGAACGGAAGTTCTTAATTTGCCTTCTCTATACTGTACACATATACATTGGAATTGGAACCGCAGAATTAGACGTTCAACAATTGTTTACCTTCTGTCGTCAAACAACAGAAATCCCCAATAACATTTTTAAGTGTTTCCCAAACACTTGCTTTGTTTTGACTTCTTTTGTCCAAAAGAAATACAGGCAGTGGTGAAGAAAGTAAACCAAATGTTAGAATGGGACCAAGAGATGGGATGGAGAAAAAGGAAAATACTTTAATGACATTATCTAACTCAGTGTAAAATCCTCATTTAAAATAGTGTGTTTAGTTCTGGTCACTCCACCTCCAAAAACGTTTTGGAAGAATTATGGAAGGGGGTTTAGAGCAGTGGCTCTCAAACAAATTACTGGTGACCCCTTTCACATAGCAAGCCTCTGAGTGCAACCCCCCTTTATATAAAAAAGTGTTTTTAATTTATATTTAACACCCTTATAAATGCTGGCGGCAAAGCAGGGGTTTGGGGTGGAGGTTAACAGCTTGCGACCCCCCCATGTAATAACGTCACAACCCCCTGAGGGGTCCCAACCCCCAGTTTGAGAACCCTTGGTAAGGTGAGGGGAATGATTAAGAGAATGGAAAAACTGTCATATGAAGAGAGATTGAAAAGATTAGGATTGGTTACCTGACAAAGGAGATGAATAAGAAGCGATAGGATAAAAAATAACATTTATAAGAGAGGGTAGATCAGGATCTTCTGTTCACCTTGTTTCATAATATGAACTTGAAAGCTGGTAAATTGAAAACTGGTAAAAGGAAATAATTTTTCACAACTAGCTTGTGGAATGTGTTACAGGTATAACTGAGGCCAAAAGCATAGTAGAATTGAAAAAAGGTAAGATATTTATATAGATAACATGTATGTCTAGAGTTGTTCTAGCAAATACTTAAAGGTTTGGAAGGAATATAATTCCTCATACTTCAGCACTAAAGGCAAACGTTAACTATTGGGGGTTAGAAGGAAACTTTCTCTAGGGACAGAGGGTAACACTGAAAGGTATTTTGCACCTTTCCCTGCGTGGCTCACTGTTGAAAACAGGATCCTGGACTACATAGTCCACTGGCTTCATCCATCATGGAAGTTCTTATGTTCCAAGCCCCCCATAGTCTGTGTTAACATACTGTGACAGACCCAGACCAGTGGGGTACAGGAGTCTGGTAGTGGGCAAATATACTGGTCACTGGATGAGTAGTTTTCTGTTCCCTGAGTGACCAGAGCAGGGGCTGTACTAGAGTAATCAGGAACCTGCTAGAACCAGTTCAGGCAGGCAGGCTAATTAGGACACCTGGAGCCAATTAAGAAGCTTCTAGAATCAATTAAGGCAGGCTAATCAGGGCACCTGGGTTTTAAAAAGGAGCTCACTTCAGTTTGTGGTGTGAGTATGAGGAGCTGGGAGCAAGAGGCGCAAGGAGCTGAGAGTGAGAGGGTGTGCTGTTGGAGGACTGAGGAGCACAAGCGTTATCAGACACCAGGAGGAAGGTCCCGTGGTGAGAATAAGAAAGGTGTTTGGAGGAGGCCATGGGGAAATAGCCCAGGGAGTTATAGCTGTCATGCAGCGGTTACAGG